TATCTTCTTTTAAAGAAAAAAAATAAAATAAAAAAATAAAAACATTGATATTGACCTTCCGTTGATGATCCCCTATGGTACTTATCCTCACCCTGGTGACAACATATATCCTTCAAAAATAACAGAATCTCGTCCACGCGGGTAACGGGTAAAATACAACACAGCCGTTGAGATTTCTGACACGTGGCGTTTTCTGCTCATGATTTGTGGGCCCCGCATCCAACCAAAGCAAAAATAACATGCTCTTTTTTTCCCTTCTATTTTTTAATTAAAAAAAAATTAACCATTTCCCCCCTTCGCTCTATAAAACACAGCGGTTGCTTTGTATATTTGTAGTTTTAATCTCCCCACCCTCCCCCGATTTTGTTGGTGCCAACAAATTTCGAACCCTAAACCATAAATTTCTCAGATATTAAGAGGGCAACGATCTCGGATTTTGGGAGAGATTTTCGAGGATTTTTGAGCCGGATTTTCTCGATAATCACGGATCCCAAGGTAAGCCACGATCAATTCCTCCTTTTAATCAATTATTATCGATCGTTCTCTATAGAAAATTTTAGCTTCTTATTTGGTGAAAAATTATGAGAAATGCTCATCAGGTGATGCTTCGGTCATCGAGTTTTGGATTGTTGTTCGGTTCTTTGCTGGATCTATATGCTTGTAATCGTATGTTTTTTGGGCGATCATTTGGTGTCGTAATTTTGCGAGATGTTGAGGATCTTGCCTGATTATGGATATTTTTTGTTGTTCTGATTGAAATGATCCTTCTTTACTTGGATATATTGGAATTATGTCGAGATTGATGGTGGATGCTATTTCCCCAAAATTTTGGGGTCCAAATTATTGGCGTTGGTACATGAACCCTAATTTTCCATTCATGTTTGCAGAGGGCTATCTTTCTACGTGTTAACTACAGAAAATCTCCCTAAGGTTTAGATGATTGATGAAAAATCGCTCCTAAGGTTATAAAAGTGAGACTTTACCCTTCACTCCCAATTTCTAGTCATGTAATCATCAATCCTGAATATAATCATAATATGTTTATATATATTCGTCATATCCTGCATATTAGCTTTTTCATCCAAGTTAACTTTGTATCCATTGTGTGGGATAAAGGGTCCCTTTTAAAAAGTTATAGGAATTTTCTGTCAATCATCCAAATGGTAGTAGAATTTTTAAGTTGGTTACTATCATATACTTCTTCTTTGTTTCCAACATCTAGTTATGATCGTTGGATGCTATTGTTGCGGAAATGTTAGATTCACTTTGATTTTCGTGATAAGTTGGCAGAGGTAGAAGAGAAGAGGTAAAAGCTTTAAGACATTATTTGTTGGATACTTGTGCTGAAGGAAGAACAGAAAAGCTTGCAGAATTGGTAGAAATAATGAAATCATGCATTCAAAACATTTGTTTTGAAACTTTGATTGGTTTCTGAACTAGAACTATAAATTTTGCCCTGAACTCTATGGGATAAAAAAAAGCATCTTGAAAGCAGATGTAAATAGATATGATTCATATGAATCTGTACAGGTATTGTTTTCTGCAAAATCATTCATTGCTATGTTTTGGTAAGTAAGTGATTCTTATTTACCAGTAATGAAAATAGAGAACAAATCTGTCCATGTACGAAGTTAAGAGCTCAAGCGTCACATACCAATCAAGCTCTCACAAAACCAACTCAAAAGAGAGAAAACTAAAACACTGAAAACAGCAACTCCATCAAGACATCAGCAGCTCTGCCTGAGTCTTCGTCTTGGTACAAATTTTGGCTCGATCTTCATGGCTCGACGCCATTCTCTGTTAAGCTCTGGACATTCATTGTTATGTTAACCTTGTATGTATCAGTGTTATTCACATTTGTTTCCATTACCCTTGTTTTAAGATTATTTAGAATAATTTGTTTGAGAATAATAAAAAAATAAAATAAAATCCCCAATTTTTTGTATTGAGTTTCTTTTAAGAAGAATCTAGACTAGGAAGTATATATAAATCTGATAGTCTCTTGTTTAAACTTCCTACATTTTCTTGTGGTTGTTTGTTTTCATTATCCTACACCTGCTCATGTTAAAAATTCTGTTTCCTTGTGAAAGTGAACTCTTGGTTAGTTTGACATTCAGTGTAGTAGATATACTTGCTTATCCTGCATGAGATTTTCCTGCTCCATCTTTTATTCATTCTGGTTAAGGTTTGAAGAATTAATTGCTTTAGGTGCTCGAGATGGTAAGAGAAATGTATTCATGCATAACTGGGAGAAGTGACATTTGATGGATTTTGTTATTTTCTTGTGAATCCAGTAATGCCCACCCAAATCATTCTTCGATTGACTGAGGTTTAAAGAGAAACCGTTTAAAATCATCCTTGGATCTTCCTCTGTTATTACTTGTTAGATAACCCAGACAGGTAGAATGGGCTATATTTGGCTACTATACTAGCATTTAAGATTAAGTTCTTTGAGAAGTAGGTGGTGTGACTACAATGAACTTTGTTTGACTATTAGAGCAACTATTAAACAAGTGAAAAGAATACGGTGCTGATGAGTGGGGGGAATACAGTGTTCTTCTCTTAATTCTAACTGATGTGGACAATGTTCTTGACAGCAACTGGGGTTGACGCTTCTCATTCTGTGCAGGTCTTCTAAAAACCACCACTTTTTTAAAATCTATTCTACTGAATCTCGTAGCGATTAGAGCTTTATTTATTGTGACTAATATGGAGGGCAATACATTGTCAATTTACATTTTCCATTCATATTAACTGTTAATAGCTTTTTGAGTATGGTGAAAGGCAATTTGATGGATTTTGTTACCTTTCTCTATTAGACCATGACCACGTCTCCTTACTAATGAGGTAGGACTCTTTGCAAAGACAAGCTTATCTTCATTTACAGTAGTAGAAGTTTAGATTATGCCTTTCATTATGGTAGGTCTTAATAATATACTGAATGATAGCACTCTGTTAGCCATCTTCGTAGCTGATTGGGTTTCCTATATTAGTTTGGAAGCTATATACGACAGGAAGTTAACTATAAGGGTCCTCTTTTTTGCATCATAGTTTAAACACAAATTCATTTTACCCGTAATTTCATAATATAGGAATCCTCTACTAAGGTCAGGTTTTTGGGTAGAATTTTACGCAGTTTTCATCTGAATAAGAAATGGTATTGCAGGCACTTTATAGTGGAGGATTTTGGAGTCATGACTGTTTCATCTATGTGCTGTGTGTGGGGAGCATGGTGTTTTCAGGCCCTTATCTCTCACACCATGATACCCCTTAAATCTGAGGCCGTACTTTGGAGATCTCCATTGGTGTGTCAAAAATGGCACTTCGTTTGTTCAATCATACTGAAGGGTGTTTATAATAAGAAAGGATTAGGGATAACTTAGTATTATGTCATATCTATCCTCTATCGATATATTCTGAGTTATCCATTTGCTACCATTCTTGTCAAATAAATTCCTTTCCCATCTGAAGTTTACCTTTTCTCCCTGAAAGACTTCCTTCCCAGACCATTTGTTGGGATACCTTCACCTCCATGACAAAGTTCTATGCCATATTTGGAACTAGTGATGCTTCCATGGGATCCATGATACATGAAGCCTCTGGAGGATTGAGTACTTTTCTGGTTTTCTGTGACATAGAATATAGGATGAGCTCAGGCTGGTAACTGGATGCGAGGACTTTATTCCTTTTCTTTTGCGAAGTGGGCTGTTCCCATGAATGCTAAATTTGCATTGTTAGCATCTCTATTTGAGCTGGATGGATGATCTGATTACTGATCTCTGTACGTGGCTTGGACTTAATATTTAAGCATCATATTGTTTTCCTCTTATACTGGGCACTGAAATTAGAGAATTGAAATATGGAGTTGGTGAATGGAAAAAAAAAATCAAAATGGTTCCTCTACTATTTCTTGGCAGTTCCACATGCAAGATTGTAAATATTTGTCCTAGAGAAATCCTATTCACAATCCTTGTGTTGGAGAATTATAAAGAAGTGTTCTAATGATTAATGGCTAAGTGGTGGGTGGTCGACATATCTATATTTCCCAATTTATGACATATATCTGCAAATGATCCTACATTAGGAAAACTTAGCAACTGTTTCGTCGGCCAAGATAACATCTTCGTGATCTTCGTCAGACACGGCTTCATAAATGTAGGATCTAGGCGGATTCTTAAGGACAACCCATTCGTTATTTTTCATTATATCTTTGACATAAAAGCATTGCCTGGCGTGAGTAGCTAACATGTACTTTTCAGTCTGATATATTTCCTTGTTAAGATTAACGAGTGTGTAACCGTAGTCATCCTTCACCTTTTTCAGCTCACACCAACGAACCTTAAACATCACATGTCTGACTTTATTATTAATCCCATAGAAAATCTCCACAATGTCTTCTACCTGACCGTAGTAATAGATTTCACCTTGTATCGGATTTAGATCTTTTGAACTAGCGTATGACAGTTGCGAGAAGGAGCAGAACACACCGCTATTTTGCGTTTGTCGTCTCTCTTCGAAACCGATGGTGTTAAACCTAAAGCCGTTGATACAGTAGCCTCCATAACGCTTAACCACGTTAGAAGGACCTCTGGCATATAAACATATTTTCTCAGGCAGGTTAACCCCATTCGTAATACGTCGGTCAACCTTTAAGAAAAGAAACAAATAGTTTAAATATCTGTTGGCAGGCACATATTTGATATACGAATCAGAAATGTAAATAAATCTTACTTCACCCTTCAGCCATGCAGGGAATTGTCTAGAGTGTGTGTCCATAACTCTTTTGTTTTTTGTTCTGCATTTAAGAATAGTCTGGACATATCGGATGTGAAGCCTAGAATAAAATCATTTACAACAGTTAAATAGAGATAGTTATTGTGATGTGATATGATCTGATTCAAACAGTTAAATACTTACGCCGAGTATATGTTAAATGTAGTATCATTACTCAAGATATATGTGTGGGCTTGATCTAGCTCCATTCTGCTCTACTATTTCTTGGCAGTTCCACATGCAAGATTGTAAATATTTGTCCTAGAGAAATCCTATTCACAATCCTTGTGTTGGAGAATTATAAAGAAGTGTTCTAATGATTAATGGCTAAGTGGTGGGTGGTCGACATATCTATATTTCCCAATTTATGACATATATCTGCAAATGATCCTACATTGCATGTTCACAGATTTGGATGTTGGTCCTTTGGGTTCCTGGTTTAAGGACTTGGATTAGTTTACTCCAGTTCATTTGTTAAAAAAACCTGCTTCCCTTCTAGTATGGAGTTCTCTTCAAATTGTGCAGCATGTATCTTGTAGTCATCTTACATGGGTGAGTTTAAACGGAGGAATGAGGCTACTTTTGGATTTGCACAAAAGTTGTGATGTTCATAGAAATGGCCAGTTTGGATTTGCAAATCAGTTGTAATGTTCACAGAAATGACCAGTTATGTCCACATGAGACAATAACACATTTAGCATTATCAGCATGATGCATTCGCCTTCTGAAACAAGAAGTTCTGGTCCTGGAGGTATAATATCAACCACTTGGTGTCCACTGCAAGATGTAGTTGGAAACTTCCCAAACTTAAAGTTGTTGTACACATTTTAATCATAGTTTTCTTTCTTGTCTTTGCAGAAGGGTCTGCACCAAAAAAATTTGAATACTTATAATGGGTGATTATGCTTCATTAATAAGTTTATCATTGTCACTTGCCAGTCCAATTGAAGAGGTAAATTGCAGTGACAATATTTGTAATAGAAATTTCTGGCTAAAGAAGGCGATCATTTGCTATGAAATGGGTCTCTGTAGCCGATCTAGTTATATTTCAAGGTTTTAATTATTGAGTATCCTATAGGCTAGTGGTTAAACTTTTTTGAGGTCAGTGGAAGAGTTGTGGGAGCACAACAGAAGATGTAGAATTGACTTCAAGAGTCTTAACATGAAGTTGCAATATGATAATTGACATGAGAGAATTGGGTTTACGGGAGAAAGATATGTTGTTTTCTATGGCATATCTGTTTTTCTATTAGAATTTGCTTGAAAAAAGTCCTGTTAACTGAAAATAGCTTGGCGTTTGAAGAGCAGTGAATTTATAAATTAATCTCAGAAAATTGTGTAAGTTAACCATGGGTAGTCCATTGGTAAGCATTTTCCTTTGAGGAAAGGATCATAGAAAAAATTGAAAATAGGCATCCCTATTACTTACAGTCTCACGATTTATTATTGACCTTTGGTTTCTTTTCATATTATTTCGGTTGTTGTTACTTTTTACAACAATTAGACTATAAGTTCCTAAAAGAAAGAAAAATTCAGATAGAATTTTTTGTAAATGCTAAAAGCACCACACTTGACGAGCGTGCTGGATAACATCTTCTTGGACATATGTCTAGCCTTCATTTTAATTCAAATTCTTCCTTTTTTTGTCTAATTATTTGATGGATCTCACAACTATGTTGAGTCATTGATGGTTGCTTGGTTTTTTCACCATTAGTGAATACCATGATAATGGGTCACCTTGAACCCTGGACTAAGAAAAAAACATTTTCTTATGTTTGTTATATTGACATGTTGCAGAATGATCACAGATCACGGAGCTTTATACTAACAGTTTAAATTCTACTATACTATAACATATAAAGACCAACACTTTTTAAGGATGAGCAGCAAAGAGGAAAAGGAGTTGAATTATCACTTGAAGGAAAGCTATCTAAACCAAAGTTTTCATGTTTCCAAGTTCTAGAGCTGAATACCCAGGCCATCTTGGATCTGATTAAGCTTGTACTCCACTTATTATACTTGTTTTTTTTTTCTATTTTCTGTGGGTGATATTCGCCGAGTAGTTTCCTCTTTTGGACTTCTGCTAATTGTCAGAGTTGTCCAACTCCTTTTAAGATTATTGAATATTGCAAGCTAAGTTTCAAATTCTGCATGAAATGATTGCTGCAAACCTCACATCATGAAAATTTCTGTGACATTGTATCATTTTATAATAAATGTATTTACCAATTTTCTTGCAGCATTTTATATGTTGAAGGCCTTATATACCAGTTTCTGGGATTTTCATTTTCTTATTCTCATTGAAAACGGCAAGGATATAGAGCTAGTGACTATCCGTATGCTAGTTTGAGTTATTTGCAATATTTTCATTTCCTCACCTTGCCTTAATGAATACAAGGGATGACACCTGTTCGTATGTCAACTCGGTTAACAAGTTTGGTATTTTAGCAAGGTTAGCAAATCCTAAGCAAGTTACTATAGAACAATTACATGGAGTTTCAAGCACCTGATTGTCTGTGGATTTTTTAAGGCAAGTGAAAAATGTTTTGACTTACCTCTTTATTAAAAAAGCAATCGTGGAAGCCATCTTTCATCAGTTCCCATTGTCTGGGTAGGTAAAGTGATTAACTGTTAATACTGATGGAGAATGAGGGGTACTTCTTAATTTCTTTCCAAATAAAGTTTTTCCTTTACGCTAAATTATGCATTTGAAACTGAACATAACTTTGGATATTTTCCATTTCCAATGCTATAATCGAGTCTGAAGATTGTTTTTGGCACCTACTAAACCTGGCAATCGATACCGTAACCTCCACTGTAGTTCACTAATTTCTCATATGAGCAGGGAAGTTATTTTTTCTGGAGTTGATGAATATGAAATGCCAATTAGATTAGACATTTGGGTGCTGCAGGCTGCCGGAAGATATCATGTCAGTTTTTTCCGCCCTTAGACGAACATTACCTGATACATACATGCATGCTCTGGAAATGGTACTGAAATTGGCTGTAATCTTAGGCTATTTCCAATTGTCTCTGCCTCTGTGAAACTATCTAAATATTTGTAAAAATATTTATATGAATGGAGATAACTTGTCTTTGGCGTATCTGCATCAAACCAGTTTTGCCCTTTCTTATTTCAAAGATTTTGGTTGTCTTAATGATAAACTGCTTGCTCTGGACAAGTTGATTTATATCGCATCTAAATTTTTTCATATTATGTGTTATTATTTGAACTATTTCTACACGCAACAGGGAATTTAATTAATACATTACCCAAATTGTGAACTGGCATAGAATAGATCTAAGGATTTTCAAGATAACATGAGGTCTTGGCTTAAATTGCGACTTAACTCATGAAGCTAGTGCTGCCACTGCCAGCCATCTCAGTACAGAGTTGTGCCCTTATCATCTTAAAGTCCTTAATTTCTCATTATTAATGAAATAGATAAACTTGCGAGAACAACACTCCTCGTATGAATGGATGGGTTAGTAGTTCTATTTATGATGCATGTTTCTTTTTGTAAATTGCCTATGAAACCACTTACTTTCACAGCAGAAAAGTATCTTATGATGCCTGATGAGATCCATGATTCCATCAGATCTGTTGATCCTGTGAGAGATTTATGATATATCCTGATTATGACAATATTGCTTATATCCTTGTACATTTTGATAGGTCAAAAAGTAATTATGATGTTAGATAAGTTTTCAAGTTTGCTTAGACTAAAAACCAGGAACTTCTTAATCTAGCGAGTGGTGATTCAAGATGATACGTCTTGCTCGTGTTAGTTTTTAAACAGCGCCTCAACTTTTTAGTTCCTTTGCAGATTTTATGCTGTTTCTATAAGGAGGTCTTCTATGGGTCACAGACAAATGATTTTCCCACCTCAAACTTCCGATATGGACTGTGCAGATATCTGGAATCATCCATACCCTGATCCTCATGTACAACAGGGTATTGCTCCGTCTTTATCTACCTTGTCTGTATGAATCTCGTATAATAAACAATAGGAAAATTCACTTAATTGCGGAGACTAATTGGTTCTTGCTTTCTTCAGGTACTACAGCAATTGGAGTGCATACTGTGCCTTATTTTGACATTACACTGAGATCCAACAATCATTCATCAACAAACTTCAGTTTCGAGATCCCAAATCATAATATGGGAGCTAATCTAGGAGCTTTACATAATCCCTTTCCACATCCTTCATCTGCAAGCAGCTCTAATCCAATCCCATCAAATTACATCCAGGGTGGGCCTTCTTGCTATAATGAATTTTCAATTAATTCTCAGATGGACTTTGAAAGGGCACATTTTAAAAGGAAAAACCCAGCAATATCAATGGCCTATGGTAGAGGGAACAACTACAATTACCATTGTGCTGTAAATTCACAAGGTAACCCTACATCAGGTCCTCAATATTGGGCATGGGATCCTAATAGCATGCCCCCAAGTTATGGGAACGACAATCGGTTAACCGTCGAAGGGTCTCATAGAAATGTCAGAAGTCGACAGAGTGCTGCTCTTCATTTTGGAATCAACCAAGCTGTACCCTATCAACAAAGCAACCTTCCTCATAATCTTCATCCAGCATCTAATTTCTCTGGTCAATGGGGTCATCCTCCTCCTCTGGCTTACAACGGAAATATCCCTCCTTCAGGTCTGTAGGATCTCTACAAAATTGATTGTGGTCTCTTGTTGTCTTTTATTTTTTGTCATAACTAGATCCTGTAACAAATTGCAGGAGCTGGCAACTTCAATAGTAGCAACACGAGTATGGAAATTGATGGGGGATACCACCATAATCTTCTTCATAGTAGAATCTCTACTCCTCCATTGCCAAATCTCAATGGTCCTTACTTTGGCCACAGTAGCTATGATCAAAGACCACATCCTACAACTTCAACTCATCAATCTGTGGGCTTTACCGCCCCTTTAGCTGACGGCAGGAGACCAGGAATTGAAGCTGTTCCTCCTCCAAGACAGTTGAGACCAGTGTCTATCACAGGCAGGAGCAGCGAGAGAAACGGAAGGTCAAGGGGTCTCTATGACAGATTCCAGCAATTCTCATATGGAAATAATTCCCACAGTGGATGGATATCTGAAGTAAGATCTCTTTTCTTAATATTAAAATTAAAGTAGAAGCTTAGTTTGCATTATGCTATGTCAGATGTTGTGAGGTTTTTATTTTTTGCTTGTATGCCTTATAAATATATCTTTATAGTTCTCACTTAACTAGGCTGCTAGGCAGCATAACTAGGTGGACTGTTGGGAGTTGAGCGATTACATAACCTTCTTAAAACTAAGTTGCCCCTTTCATTAAAAAGAACATGTGTCTTGAAACCTTGACTGCAGGGTACACATCAAATTTTCCGCATTTACATGAACAATAATCACAAGAATTAACAACTTTGGAAGGATGCATACTTGGGAGGATGAATGCTAAGATATTCATAATTTTAGTGCTGCCAGAGGTTGATAGTAGTGCACACTTATTTTGCAGGGTAGGGCTATCTATGATTCGAGGAATTTGTTTGATCAGCATCGTGACATGAGACTAGACATTGATAACATGAGCTATGAGGTAATATACTTCCCTTTCTTTCTCTGCCAAGAAGAATCTCGGTTACTTGTCAACTTGCCTAATATTATTTGGCTGGTGCAGGAACTGCTAGCTTTGGAAGAGAGAATTGGTAATGTTAACACAGGTTTATCTGGAGACACCATCCCAAAGTGTTTAGTGGAGACAGCACATTGTTCGTCGAATCAAATTCAGTATGAGAAAGAAGAGAAAAACTGCATAATATGCTTGGTAAAGCTCATAACTCAGGAAAAAAAAATACTCTAGCCCCCTACAGAAATCATAAGAAAAATAGAGGATTGTGATCTGGCCTAGCACGAATCTTGATGTGCAGACTGCACCAGTAGACAGTGTGCAGTAATAACCGATAGTGATAAGAGTTATTATGTTTCGTGCTATTTCAGGTGTTTTCGTCCCCTATATTTCAGTATGATTTTTTTATGAGGACCTCTTTGGTTCTATTGACCTAACATTTAGTATGCTGTGGCAGGAAGTGTACAAATACTCGGAGAATATAGGGAAACTTGCGTGTGGGCATGATTTCCATTCAAACTGCATCAAGACATGGTTGTCGATCAAGAATGCTTGCCCAATATGCAAGGCCTCAGCTTTACCTGATAATTCAGAGGAGAAATAAACTGTCTCTCGCTAACTAATTGTTTCTTTTTCAGAAAAAAAAGAAATACTGTGCTAATTTGTAAATAGGATGTTTAAGCGCAGACCCATTTCATGGTGTAAATTTAAACGCTGAATTGTTTTCTTTTTTATTTTGCCCTCGGATACTTCTGGGTTGTGTACAAGTGTACAGTTTATATCTTGATGAAGTCAGACTTAAAAGGCATTATATTTTTTCTGTTGCGCCTGAGAGCTGAGTTACATGGCATTTTATAGATTTATAAGGGATCGTTCGATCGACAGATGTAGGAATTTTGCGTGCAGGAACTGATGCATGTAACTGTTCTCGTGTGAAACTGGTCGCAGATCTGTTTCCATATCTGGAATTTTATCGAGGGGAATGTATTTTTTTGCTCAAATCCAGTGTTTGGTTAATTGCAAAAGATGTTTTTTGGACGCAAAAGATGTTGATTTGCATTTTGACAAGATAGAAAGGTTCAGGGAGCAATGTTCTCATGCTAAGAGTGTGTGGCCATCAGGGCGTCTTTTATTTTATTCGTCCGTGAAATTATGGTAATTTCTGTGACGATGTGGCTTGCTTTGTGCAGGCATTTGGTAACTTTCAGCGGACATTTTCTAGGCGTAGGATTAGTATTTAGATGAGGATTTCAAAGAGTTTTTGCACCCATTGACCTTTCTATAAATAGAAATGTTAGGGGCACACCCCCAACCACACCCTCCACCACACCTCCTCTCCCTCTATAGTGCATTGGACCCCACATCAAATTTTTTTTAAAAATTTGATGTGGGGCCCAATGCACTATAGAGGGAGAGGAGGTGTGGTGGAGGGTGTGGTTGGGGGTGTGCCCCTATCACCACTCTTCTATAAAAGTCAAAAATTAAGAATAATGTAAACTTACCTCACTTCTGATATAGTCCAAAGCTAAATCTCTGTTTGGATGGAGGGTAGAGAGTGGGAGGGGAAAAGAAATCTAATTTTAACATTGTTTTGGAGTTCTATTTAGGAGGGTAGAGGAGGAGAATTGGGGTAATTTGAGCCAAAATCTTACATCCCAAATTAGGGAAGGGAAGTAAGGAGAACTTTTCCCTTTTCCCCTTCCTTTCCTTCCCTAAATCATCTCCCAAACACACTGTAAAAGAATGCGTCTTTCAACAGAAAAAACTGGTTATGTATAAAATTGTAAAAGCAAATTGAGAAGCTTGTGGACATATTTTCGTTTCCTTTTTTTTTCTAATAAACAATTTAATTAAAAAGGATAAGAAATCAACGTGTATGCCTAAAATGACTAGAAGAGACATATAAAAAAACAAAAAAACAGACATAAATGAAAGAAGACCGAAAGTCCAAAAGGATAAGACTTTTGATAAACAAAATTTATAATAAAACGTATGGTAGTGAGAATCATTGAGCCCCACCAACGCCACTAATTTCCAAAACCTCTACCCTCCACTTTGCATTAAAATCCTTATTAGTTATATGTATCTCACTCTTAGTCCCTTAATTTTAGTAATAAGATGTAAAAGGCGCAATGTTCTAATTGAAGATATATTCGTGTTCAATTCAGCAAATATAAATATCTGTAACCATCTAATTAAAAATGTAAAACAGCTAATAGGAGTTTCTATGATTTGATGGACCAATTCAGAAATATAAAAATGGTAATGGACTAACATGGGGGAGAAAACACATATTAAATTGACCGACCGGTGGTTACGCCTCACTCGTCAAATTCACATGATTAAACTATAAATAAAATAAATAAATAAAAATTAGCGTAGAAATACAGTCTTCCATCATTATTATTATTAAGTAAGAGAAAGAAAGTTTTCTAGAGAGCGAGAGAGGGACAGAGAGCGAATTTGGGGGAATTTTTCATTCGCTCGTTCGTTCGATCGATCGATCGATCATGGAGGTTCGCAACGTCGACAACGCGTCGCCACCGCCGTCGCCGGCGCCGTCGTCGAAGCAGCCGAGGCCTCCGCCCAATCCCGTCGACTCCTCTTCCGTCTCCCAAAGGTCTCGTCTTTTTCAAATCAGAAACCCCAATTCTTTTGCTTTTTGTGGTAAAGATCGTTACTTTATGTCTGTTTGTGTTCCTGCAGGCTCCAGAAGGAGCTGATGTCGCTTATGGTGCGTTTCTGGTTCTTGATCTGAATTGATGAACTTGTCATTGATTTAGAGTTGGATGTAGAAAATGGTTGATGGTAAAATTAGGGTTTTCTAGTTTTGCAAAATTAGTCTCTATGATTCAGCTCTGCGTTTCATTTTCTATTTTGGATGCAGTTATTTGTGTATTGGGTGCAATTGTGGCTGTTTATTATTGAATTAAATTTGATTTTCTTGGAACATTAGAGACCTAAGATGGTTCATAGTGTTAGATCAAATTCAACGTTTAGCTGTGGGTTTCTGTGTGATTTGGAGAATATTTCGTGCTGGCTGTTTGGTGAGGTAAATATGTCTGTTGGATTTGCTGCATCTTCATGATTAAAAATCATGCTGTCAGTCTGACGGTATCAAATTTTTTTTCTTTCATATCACAACATTTTGTTACATTTCTGCGATTAAAATTTCCATTGTTCTCAAGTAAGTTCATGGGATGGGGGAACTGAACACATGAAGATTGTTGGTTACTGTTAAGGGGGTGGTCGGAAATTAGATACATGTAGCAAAGTAGACGCCTCTACAAATTCCCTCAGATCACACATGCACATGCATGCTGCATACAGTAGCGTATGAAATTAGAAGAAAGGGCTTCTAATGTATGTAGCAATCTTGAAAATAACGATAACGCATAATGTAACGCTCTACCTCGTGTTAAGGGTTAAAGAAAAAATTGCAAAAAAACCTAACACACGTAGGTTATTTTGTTTATAAATTATTTACATATTTTATAATATAAACTATTCATAATGACTAATGACTTTAGTAATTAGAATCATCAAAATTTTCAAACATAACTTCACAATTAGGAACAAAATATAAAAGATGTTAATAATAATTCTTACTGTTTAGTTTAAAAAATATAAACGATGTTAATAATAATTCTGAGAATTAGGAACAAAATATCATTATAAAAATTCTTAAATTAACACAAGCTATATAGATTTACTAGGAAGTATCACAATCGAATGCTCAAGTATATAATAATAAATTTATGGCTCATTCATAATTACATTCGTTTTATTAGTCATATTCATAATTTCACAATCACATAATAATGTCACCAAAACAAGAGATGAAGGCTTAACAAAGAATTCAAAAGTAATTACTTAACTACTTCGAGTTTTAGGAAAGAATATATTCTCAAGTCTCTAGAACTCATATTGAAATAACGCAAGTTGTATTGAAATAAGGCAAATTATATTGAAATAATGTGAGTTATATTGAAATAATGCATATTATGTTGTCATGACATAGAGTTATGATGTGTTCGAGTTATTTCATAAGGTTGCATAACAATTAAGGCTTGTTAGGTTACATAGCAAGTTGTGTAACGGGTTCTTTTTTCTTCCAACAATGGTATGTAGATAATTTATTTCACTTCTCTGCTATTTTGGAAGACATAATACAGAAAGAGGTAAGTTTATTGTCATTCTATTATATTTAGGCAAAATTTCTGGCTAACCTTTTCTTTCACTAGGAACCACCTGAGATCATTTATAAACAGTGCTTAGTGGAGAGGGAATGAGGAATGTGATGACTGATGAACAAATCAAATTTGTTGAGAATACTATAAATAAAATTATGATGAAGTTTAGTCTCAGAACAGGGTTAAAAAGATAATACATTGAGATTCCCAGATCCTGCCAGCAGTCCAGAAAGTGTCTATTTCTAAAATCTTCTGTTATTTCTTGTTACTTGAAAAATTCAATGAGGTACTGTTGGTGTCAGTATTAATACCGAGAAAACGTGAGCCATTGAGCCTATATCAATTTTTGCTAGTTTTGTCACCGACACCAGTGGTACTCTTTGGCTGTGGCTGAATCAAATTGACAAGTTAAATTCCTTGGTATAATAGTGGTATTTGTCTACAAAGCTCTTCACATATTTTAACCACACTTGCAAGTGTGTATTTTAACTTATTGTTTTCCTGCATTAGTAATTTTGTAAAAACTCTAGAGTTGGTATGCAGGGTATTCCAAAAGATATCCAATCAGCCAGAGATAAGATGTTAAGCTATTCAGCTTCTAACTGGGTAGCACATAATCTTTAAGCTCAATCTCGGTAGACTCCCAGTATATCCCAAAGTTGCATAACTAACAATTTTGACAAAGCGATGTTATTACATCCACATATGAATTTTAAGGCTGATACCTAATATCCATATCGAATGTGAAGACCGACAACATATATCATGATATTCGTGGATCTTAAGAATGCATACTTTATCAGAATGCAACAATTACTGTCTGGATTTGGTTATTGCCCAAGCGCAGTTACTTAATTACTCAGATAGGTAACATATCTAGTAAGCCTTTCTTTTCCGAAATATTGAGTTATCGTGCAAGTTTTTGATATAATGATTAACAGTTTTTTTGTAGAATCAACAATATCATGAATACATTCAATTGTGAGTTCTAATATCAGATAACTTTCTACCCACTGTAGTTTGTCATTTATAATGACTCTGGACACTTCAGAAGATTTGATATAAGGTTGCATACCAGCTGTCTACCTTACTGATGTTTTTTTATATTACTATGTTCTTTTCCTCTTCCGGTAATTTACTTCATTCAATGTTCATTCTTGCTCTCTCTACACAAACATTTATGATAAACATAGTGTTATTCTTTCTACCCTAGATGAGTGCAAACCAAGGAGTATCGGCCTTTCCTGAGGGCGAAAACATTTTCTCTTGGATAGGCACTATTGTTGGGGGCATAGGAACTCCATATGATGGTTTATCTTATAAACTCTCTCTACGCTTTCCTTTGGACTACCCGTTCAAGCCTCCCCAAGTTAAGTTTGAGACCCCCTGTTTTCATCCCAATGTTGATCAATATGGCAACATTTGTCTTGATATTCTTCAGGTAATCAGCAGGCTGATTGAATAATATTTGTTTCTGGAGGAAAACTTGATGCATATCTGTGTTTATTCTGCTACAGGATATGTGGTCCTCAGCTTACGATTGCAGAACGATCCTTTTGTCCATTCAAAGCTTATTAGGAGGTGAGTTTGCTCTCTCGACATCATCTGGTGAGTGCAAGTTCATTTCCTTTTTTCAGCAGAATCTAATGTTGAGTTATTTGATGCAGAGCCCAATGTCGACAGTCCTCTTAACAGCTATGCTGCCACATTGTGGAGTAACCAAGAAGGTAGTTTGCTTTACTTTTATATTTTTCTTTTTGCAAGTCTTGCCTTCATCTTTATGTGTGGAAAGTGGAAAGTAAATGAAAAATGATCAAATATTGAAAAGTGAGTAATACTTTCTATTTTGTTCCTGTTTGGCAATCATAAAGTGATTGGAAAATAATTGGAAAGTGGGGAGCGTCCTGTCAACATTTTAACGCTTTTCACTTTCTCCAAAACTTTGAGAAATTGGATGGAGGAAGAGAAATTAATTTGTTATTCTCTCTTCTCACCATCTGACTTCTATTCTACCATCTACCATGGCAACCAAACAGGCAGAAATAAAAGTGGGACTCCATATCAGTTGTCATCTCAACTTCCCTCTTTTCACTTTATATTCCCCAAACAAGATTTGCACATAGAAAGTAAAGAGCACTTTCTCAATTAAAGTATGTTCTGTTAATTTTTTATTTCGACTTTCTATTTGCCAAACACATCAGTTTTCAACTGCATAAGGTCTGCATTTTCATGATATGTCCTTTCACTAAGTTTGTAGATTGGACTCATCAATTTCACATGGGTATTTGTACTCCAAACAAAATTTTGACTGTATTTGTTGCTCCGAACAGAATTTTGAGTTGGTGACTACACTAAATAAGCAAAATATTCACTCTATTCTCATGCCTACTAAGTAATGTTGTGATCCATAATTTGAGTTTGTTATCACTTGCTTGTACCTTTCTTACCATTGGAAATAAAAGCTTCAGTGTAAATGAATAATGATTACTAGTTGCCAGTTGTTTTTTTGGGTAAATTACAAAAATAATCCCTGAAACTTTTTTGGGAACAGCAGAAATTCCCCTTGAGGTTTTAAAAGTGACCCAGTTTCAGTTTTTCTAGTCAAATATGTTTATATAGGAGTAAATATAATTGTCATATTCCATGTCACAGTTTTGTCTCCAAGTCAATTTTGTAGATATTGAAAAACGAAAAGGGTCGAAGTGTCATTCTTGAAATCTTAGAAAGGGTTTTCTGGCAATCATGCAAATCTTAGGTGGATTTTCTGTAATTTACCCTTATTTTTTTTACTATATTCTCTTGCTTCTAGTGTGCGGGAGATGTTGACCGTGGAAATCTTTATTTGTTCCTAATGTTAATTTTTCCTTGCAGAGTATAAGAAGATGGTTCATAAACAGTACGTGCATGGCGGTGACTCGCTGGAGAGCTGAAATTCATGCCCTAATTCTATATTCTACAAAATTCTGAGTTTGTTGTAATTTCTTCCACCTCGCAGCAGTATAAATTGCCTAAACATCTGTAAATCTATGGACACAGCATCTGGAGGTATAGTTACGCTACTCAGACCCTCGAGTCTATTAATGTTGGCTCGTGGACATATAAAGAAAGTGGACATATAAAGAAAAATGTAACGGAAGTTGTAATTGGTGTATTCTGGTGTTAATAAGTTCTCAATAAGCTTTTTCTGTTGTTTTCTGTGTGACTGTATAATATTCAAAGAAAACTCCTACCGAGACTTCAAACATTGACACATCTGGAATGCGGCCCTTGAGGCTTTGTATGAAAACTAGTAGCCGCTCCGTCCGGTGCCGAATTGGTTTTGTATGCTTTGAGAGAATTTTCTTCTAGGTGTAATCGGGTCTTGCGTTGTTGTGCTTGTGCAGTAACTGAAGCAAGTGCGTAGGCTTTGAGGCATCCTATTTCCTTTCCTTGGGAAAATCAGTCAGTTACCTCCCACAAATGATGCAAATGCTAACTGTCTTAATATTTCTGCTGAGCTCATTGCGTGCTAATTGTGTGTTACGTTAATCAATTGTTTCATGCGCTTGATTACCGGCGTGAAGTACCCTGCAGAAGAGAGAGATTGTGACTAGCTCCAGCCCAGGACCGCATCATAGGGTTGAGCTCTGTGAAGCTTCACAAGTTATTAACCATCCATTCTTCTCTTGGATCATGTGACGCTTTGAGAGTGCTTCAAGTCCTCACTCAAGCGGGGGAGAAGGAAAATAAATTCATGTAGGGAGTCCTCTGGAGAAAATCACACGGGGCGAAATCTACCAGGCTTTACATGAATTTTGACGCATGCATCTTTTCTAGGCGGCGCAGTTATTACCACCTAGACCGATAGAAACCATATTGATGGTTTACATGAATTTTGACGCATGCATCTTTTCTAGGCGGCGCAGTTATTACCGCCTAGACCGATAGAAACCATATTGATGGATAGTAAC